GGCGGAGTCTGCGGCCGGGGCGGAGTCTGCGGCCGGGGCGGAGTCTGCGGCCGGGGCGGAGTCTGCGGCCGGGGCGGAGTCTGCGGCCGGGGCGGAGTCTGCGGCCGGGGCGGAGTCTGCGGCCGGGGCGGCTGTTCTGGGAGGAATCCGCAGCACCTGGTGTTACCAGGCCGCCAGGGGCAGGGAGGTGCCCAGGATCCGTTGGCTGGTGGCATCCTTGGGGCTGAGGTCACCTTCCCAGGGTTTCTCTGGCCTGGGCCTGAGGCTGGAGCTTCAGATGAAGCGTCAATGGGTGTGCCAAACCCCGGGGAAGGGGCTTGTTCCTGCCCAGCACCCACTCTTGGCCATGCTGTCTGGCTACCCGCCAAGGAGCTGGGTCAAGCCACATTTTGGGTGAAGAAAAATCCTTTTGGGCCGGGTGCAGCGGAAAACGCCTGTCATCCCAGCAGCTCACGAGGCAGAGGTAGGCCAGCCTCAGCAGCTTAGCAAGGCACTCAACAGCTCAGTCAGATCCTGTCTCTAAATAAAGTGTAAAAGGAGCTGGTACGTGGCTCAGGGGTTGGGCGTCCCTGGGTTTAATCCCTGATAACAACAACAACAAAAAAAGTTGGGTGACCCTCTGTGGCCATGCTCGGTGCGCCGCACGTGCGCAGGCGTGGCCCCGTGCGCCGGCGCCGCGGGTACGCTTGCCTGTGGGTGAGACGCTGTGGAACCGCTTGGGGACCATAGACAGTAGAAGCTTAGGGTGTCCGTCGCTGGTACTGTACCCTGTTAGCTGAGTGTGACAGGGTGTGTGTGAGGGAAAGAGAGAATAGACTTGCGTTAGAGCGCTGACCAAGGGGGTCCAGTGACCCTGAGCGGGCAGGTATAGAGCTGCCATGATTCGGGGTGACGCGGTGACGGGACATGTGCACTGTGGGGCCTCTGAAGCGCCCCGCGTGCGAAGCCGTCCCATCGGTGCTCACGGCTTCCTCCCTCCTGCAGGTCATGGCGCTGCCCCGGGAGCCCGCAGGAAGCTGGCCGGCCCCGGCCCTGACCTGGACCTTGACCCTGGCTCTGGCCCTCAGCCCGGGGGCGGCCGCGCCCTGGCCCGACTGCACGGGCGCGCAGTGCCCGCCGCTGGAGCACTGCATCGAGGAGGCGCTGGCGCCGGGCGAGTGCTGCGCGACGTGCGTGCAGCGCGGCTGTCCCTGCGAGGGCTACCAGTACTACGACTGCGTGCGCGGTGGCTTCCCCGACGGCCGCGTGCCCGCCGGCCGCTCCTACCTCGTGGACTTCGGCAGCACCGAGTGCTCGTGCCCGCCCGGCGGCGGCAAGATCAGCTGCCGCTTCATGCTGTGCCCAGAGCTGCCCCCCAACTGCATCGAGGCCGTGGTGGCCGCCGACAGCTGCCCGCAGTGCGGCCGCCTCGGCTGCGTGCACCGCGGCCTCAAGCACCCGGCTGGCCACACGGTGCACCTGGCGCCCTGTCGCGCCTGCCACTGCCCCGACGCCGGCGGCGCGCTCATCTGCTACCGCCTGCCAGGCTGCGAGGGCAACGCGTCGGAGCCCGAGGACGGCGACACCGAGCGGCACTACGACGACCCCTACAGCTACGACCAGGAGGTGGCCGAGGCGGAGGCCGGCGAGGCGGAGGCCGGGGCGGGAGGTCCCCCAGCGGCCCTGGGTGGCGGGAACCAGGCCCAGGCCACCCCCTGGCCGGCCGCCCTGCCCAGGCCCACCGCAGCCGCCGCTTTGGGGCCCCCTGCGCCCGCGCAAGCCAAATCCAGGAGAGTGACCGACGACACGGACGACAGAGGGCAGGAGGCCCAGGAGGCCATCGGGGAGCTGGAGGCGCTGCCCACCGCCGCCCTGGCCGGCCCCGGTCTCCGTGCCCCAGAGGCGGCAGCCGCAGCCCAGTCGGGGATGGAGGAGAACCTGATCCCCGAGGCCCAGGCCACCCCGCGTGGCTCTGCGCCCAAGACCAGCGCGTCCCCGGGGTCGGACACTGAAGGCCACAGCCCAGAGCCCACCCCGCCCCGCGCCCCTGGGGACCCCGCAGAGCCCAGCGCGCCCCCACTTCCGGCCACTGAGGCCCCGGAGCAGCCCCAAGCGCCCCCCACCCAGGCTGGGCCCCAGTTCCCGCCGCAGCCGCCCCGAGTCCAGGAGGAGGAGGACGTGGACCCCAACTCCGTGCACTCCATCCCCAGAGGCATCCCTGAAGGTAAGACTTTGTGCTCTCTTCAAGGCCCGGGGCTGTAGGACCTGGACCACTTCTGGCTCTCTGCACAGCGAGGGGACCAGGCCACCAGAGACGGGCCTGATCCACAGCGCAGCCTCCCTGGGGGCCTCTGCGGAAAGCCCAGGGAGGGGCCTCTGGGAGCATTCATTCCACAAACCCTCCTAGGTGTCACCTGTGAGCAGGACCCAGTAGCTCACAGGGGGGGACACTGGTGTCAGAAGGGACTCAGGAGATATGGCTGCTGGGATGACGGGAGCTGGCGGTGGCTGTGGGCGGGGACTGGGGCAGCCTTAGCCTGCAGAGCCAGCGGGTGACAGGGAGTCGGAGGAAGTACACGTCCAGAGGGGCGGGCAGCCACAGCCTTGTCCAAGCCGCCTACCTCCTGGGGTCCCAGGCCTCAGGGAACCCCACTTTGTTCTCAGGAATCCCAGTAGTTCTTTGTCACTACCCCGGGATTCTCGGGTGTGTTTCGATGAGGCTCTCTGGGAGATAGATCCCCTGGAAGCACATGCAAAGGTCCTGAGGCATGACGGAGTGGGTGTGGGACAGGCAATGACTTGGTGTGCAGGGAAGGGAAGGGGAGTCTGGGAGAGGGTGGGTGTCACTGGGACCCGGAAATTCAGGCCTGGCCATCAGCCACCCTGTCCTCCTCCCCACTGGGGCCACCTGTGCCCCACTTCCTGTGCGCTGGCTCCAGGACTCACCTAGATGTGGGCGAGTGACCTGGGCTTTGTGCCTCTGTTTCTCTGCGAGCTGCAGGAAGTCCTGCCTCAGGGGGTGTCTGGGGCATTGCAGGGGCTGCGGCCGCCCAGCACCAGCCGCTGAGACTTGCCAAGAATCAGATGCGTGGGGGCCGCACCCCAGCTAGCAGTGACCTGCTGTCTGAGGTTTAGGGCGCGCCCTCTGCAGGGCGGAGCCGGTGAGTGAGACAGGCTCCGGTCCTCGCCCGGGGCCACCAGAACCCCCAAGTGCACCCACAGGGTTGCTGTTGTGGGTACGCGGTGTGGGAGGGGGTCTGGCCGAGGGGCCTTCTGGCTGCTGCTGTTGGGGGAGGCCGGGGCGGGGGTCCTGGTCATGGAGGCTGGGGGGCGGGCGGGCTGGAGGTGGCTCAGCCCTGCTCCGCCCTGGACGCCGGTTGTGGAGGAGGGGGATGGGCTGGAAGTGACCCCCCAGCTATGTTGCCATGGCAGCCAGGGGGCCTGGAGAAGGGTTTCCAGCCACCGCCTGGCCCCCGACTGGGGCGGGGGTCCTCCCTGTGAGTCGGAGCCGTGCCAGGGCCCAGGCTGCCTGCCTCTGAGCGGGTCCAGATGTGGCCTAATGGAATCCACATGCCCAGCTCCCCGGCCCGGGACGTCTGCTGTCACTCAGGACGCTTTGGGAGGGTGGCTTTTCCTGCCAGGCTGGCACCACGGAGGGGGCCAGGGACCCCTCTGGTGGCAGTACTCTGTAGAACCAGAACAGAGAGAATCCCTGGGGTCCAGGTGGCCCTCTGCAGGTCAGAGGTTCCGGGAGCAGCTGCAAGCAGCCCCAGTCTGGCGGAGGCCCCCGCACAGCCTCCGTGAGCCCCAGGACAGCGGGGCAGGAAAGGGGCCCCTTCCTCAGGGCCTCACTGGCCCGTCCTGCAGGGCGCGGCTGACGGGAACCCTGGGACTGGGGACAGGCCATGGGCACACTCTGATGGCTGAGCCCTCTCCTCGTGCCCAAGAGCCCTGGCCTGTAGGCTGACAGCTCGGTTTTTCTCGAGTCCTCATTTCTTCCTGCCCTCACAGTGGTTTCCGAGTGTCCGTAGCGTGCGTGGGCTCGGGCAGGTGGGGACTGTACAGTGTCACAGACCCCAGCACAGACCCGCCCCTGGGGAGTCGAGAGGCTTGGTGGGAGGGATCCTGAGTCCCGCAGGCTGGAGTCGGAGCTGGGAGTAGGTTGCGCCTGGGCAGTGTGGGCGCTCTGGGAGGCTGCCCGGGGCAGCCATTCTTCCTGGGCATCGGGGAAGGCCAAGTGCTATCAGGGAAGAGCTGAGGTGTGGTGGTCACGGGATGGCAGCGAGGAGCCCGAGCAATAGCATGTGCAAAGGCCCCGTGGCCAGAGGGAATCGATTGGATGGAAAGGAGGCCCTGTGACTGATGTGAGGAACAGGAGCTAGTTCCAGGTGACATGCATATCCTCAGGATGAAGATCTGGGCCTTTATCCCAAGGGCAGAGGGGAGCCGTGGAAGGTCTAAGGCAGGGGGTGGCATGATCCGATCGGTGTTTTAAGTCGTCGTCTGTGGTGACTTGAGGGTCCACGAAGGTGGTCCAGGGTTCTAGGATTTTGGGACCCTGACACATGGTTGGTGACTCAACCACATCTCGCAGGAGCTTCAGGTTCCTGAAGCCAAGGGGGAGGGGTCAGCTGGTGGGGACTGGGACCCCGTGAAGCCCCGCAGCCCTCGGAGGACTTGTGGGTGGCTCAGCTGCCACTGCCCCTCCTCGCCTGAGCTCAGGGTCCGACAGTGCGGGGCTGCGGGGGGCATCCATGGCAGGCCAGCGGGAGGCCCGGGCGTCCCAGCAGCCGCCGCCGCAATTCCTCAGGGCAAGTTCCTGTCTGCGGCAAGCTGGCCTCGGTCCTGGTGGCCTGCTCCGATGGCCAGAGGCGGCGCGTCAGACCCCGGGTGAGGAGCTCTGGGGACGGAGTGGGCCCAACCTCAGGTTGAGGGCGCCATGCTGAGCGGGCCCTCCTCTCCCTGTCCCGCGCCCACACAGGGCACCGCTTCCCGCATCAGTTAGGAGCCGTCATTCGGGGATGACTGACGGTCCGCGGGCGCGGGCTCCGGGCTTCTGTGCACCTGCTGCTCTGTCGCAGGTGGAGGGACCGGAGGCTTGCAGACGCTGGAACCTGCAGGAAGATTCTGGATCGTCAGATGTGGACAGAGGAAGGAAGGTAGACCAGCAGAGTCCAGGGCGTGAGCCAGGGCCCGTTCCTCAGTGCCCTGTCATCGGGGGCCTTGGGCGCCACCTCTCCTAGAGCCCTGCCGCCCCCGTTTGTGAGCCCTCTGAGGGCCTTGCTGCAGCTCAGCCTCAGGTGGGCGGTGGGCGTGGCCAGAGGAGGCCCCGCCCTACTGCCACGAGGCCCCGCCCACCGGTGGGCCTCTTTGGGCTGGGCATGCAGCAGGCGGCTAGAAACGGCAGGGATTCCTGGTAAACTGCTTTCTGGCCCGTGTGGCTGTGCCGTGGGCTGTGCCACGGGCTGGCTTGGGGGCAGATTCTGCGACAGTGGAGCTGCTGACAGATCGATGGCCGAGAGGCCACGGGTCATTTCACAGAGACAGGTCTGAAGGTCTGGGCTTTGTCCAGATGGGCTTCTTTGGTCTTTAGAGCTGTTTTTGGAATTGGTGGCTTTCCAAACCCACAGGTTGGCTAGGCCAGGTGTGGCTGATGTCCCCCAGGCTTGAGGACAGCTTCAGGGGCTCCTTGCAATGACAGCTGCTTTAGAGTCCTGGACGTGCCGTGGGATGAGGAGGGAGAGTAGGCCTCCGCGCCCTGGACCTGCCCCCGTCTCCTGTCCCAGCCTGACGTCATCTCAAAACAAAAGGCTTACGCGATCCTTCCCACCCAGGCGGAAGTGTGCCTGGCCCAAGGCCCGGGCCAGTGGGTGGACTCAGCCCAAACCCAGGTCTGTCGGTGGTGGGAGCTGGGTTTCCTGTCCCCTGCCCTTGCTGGAGGCTGACTCGGGCCCTCAGGAGCTGTGTGGTCTTTAGGCCAATTGTTTAGTTGTCTCAGGCCTCAGTTTCCTCATCCACAAAAGGGGCTCACAGCCCAGGCCAGCTTGGGAGGCTGAGGTAGGAGGATCACAACTTGGAGGCCAGCTTCAGCCACTTAGCGAGGCCCTGACTCTAAATAAAATATAAAAAGGGCTGGGATGTGGCTCCGTGGTCAGCATCCCTGGGTTCCATCTCTGGTACCAAAAACACAAAAGAGGGTGCTCACAGAGGGCTCCCTCCTAGAGCGGGTTCTCGTGAGGAAGAAGGTGCATCAGGCACAGGCCAGGACTCTGTGTGGTGGGGCTCTGCCCTCCGTGGCTGTCCTCGGCTGCGATGGCTCCTGGACTCAGCTTCTGAGCTGCTCCCTGTCCACGCCCAGGCCGGGCAGCCAGCCTTCCAGCGTCTCAGCCCCAGGCGGTGTTGTGGGCCCGGGGCAGCTTCTGCCAGCACCTCCTAGCTGGGCCAGGCTTGGGTGGCCTCTGAGTCCTTTGTCCTGAGGACTTGATGCTTCCAGGAGAGCTCTGCATCTGGCCAAGGTCAGTGCTCCCGGGCTGGGGCCTTGGTCCTCTCCTTGACTGCGGTTCCCGTGCTGGCTGGGAAGCCTGGCTTGGGGGGGTCCGGGGGGGGCCCCAGAGGCTGAGTTCCTGTTCCCTGCTCCTGGCTGTGTGACCTCAGGCAAGCGACTCACCCTCTCTGAGCCTCATTTTCTGCATCTGTCAGATGTGGGGTTGGTCCCAGGGTTGGGGAGCTGAGCTGTTCTGCAGCACAGAGCAGCCGCCCAGGGCCGTAGTCCCGTCTGTCCCCTGCTCCTGGGGTCCAGGGTGGGAGGGGCGGCGGATGCGTGTTTTGGTTTCAGTGAATGAGCACGTGTGTCTTCAGCTGGCCGGGGACCGTCCCCTCTGGTGAAAGAGCCAAGGACAGGCCTGCTGGGGCAGGGCGTGTGTGGGGTGTTCACTGCCCACTTTCCGTCCCCGCCCCTGTTTGTCACTCCAGCTGGGCCAGATGTGCAGCCAGTGTCCTCTCGGGGGACGCTGCTCGTGCGCAGTCTCCGCCCTGCCCCCGGAGCCAGCAGACGCCCAAACCGAGAGCCCTTCCCCTGGCCGAGCAGCCGGGCTGTGGGCGGCTGTCGGTGACCGGAGGAGGACCACTGGCCTGCGCCCGTCTGCAGCCGGCTCCCTCCTGCCGGGTGGGGCGTGGGGTGTGGCCTGTGCCTGGGCTCGTTCTTGGACGTGCCCTGTCCCCTGAGCTTCAGGGACACCCTGCACCCGAAGAGGGGGACGGCACTGTGACAGCCAGCGTATGGTCAGGGTGACTGAGGCCCAGAGAGCTGCGGGGAATTGTCCGAGGTCCCTGAGGCCCATGAAGGGAGATGCTTGGTGGCCACCAGGGCCCTTGTCCTGGGTCCTTCCCACCCTCCAGTGGGCCCCGTGGCCCCTGCCAGCAGACATGTCCTCATTGTCCAGATCGCGGTCCCGGGACTCCTGCAGATGGCTGGCTCTTGATGGGGGGGTCAGGGCTGGTGGGACCCGGGCCTCCGTCCTGGCGTGGAGTCAGGGAGGCTACGGATCCGTGGGCGCCTGTGGCAAAGGGGAGCAGAAGGGGCAGGGTCTGGCTGTGGTACTCCTGCTCCAGGGCCACTAAGGTGGGGGTGGGTGATCTCGTCCTGCTCCAGGTCCCTGCCCTCCAGCCTGTCACACACGCTCAGGGGCTGGCCCTGGAGCGTGGGGGCCCAGCCCAGCCCCGAATGTGGATTGTCGGCAGGTACGGTGGCCCACACCTGTCACCCCAGGGGCTCTGGAGGCTGAGGCGGGAGGATCGCAAGTTAGGAGGCCAGCCTCAGCAACTTGAGGCCCTGAGCAACTCAGGGAGACCCTGTCTCTAAATAAAATCCAGCATAGGGCTGAGGACGGGGCTCAGGGGTCAAGAGCCCCTGGGTTCAATCCCTGGTGACAAGAAACACAGCAGAACTTTGGATTTGCGGAGGGAAGCTGGAATCGGGAGTTTCATATAAAAGCTTCCAACTTTATAAATATTGGCAGATAATCCAAATCGTTTTTTTTAAACACTCAGCAGTCACAGGCTCACTGCTGCCACCTGTTCTTTCCCGCCCCTGGTTACGAGCGGAGGCCGGGGGCCAGGTAGGGAGCTGCCCAGGGCTCTGCAGGCCTGACTCGAGCCGCCTCCCCGCCAGTGGCCCCTCCTGGCTGAGTCGGGGCTGGGAAGGAGCCTCAGGAAGGGACTGTGTGTCGGGTCAGCGTGGGGCCGGGGGCACAGGGCAGGAGAGCGGGGTCTCAGGGCTCCGAGCCTGCAGGGACCCGGGTGCGGCCCCCTCTGCGCAGACAGGGTTGAGCCTGGCTGAGGGACAATCTGGAATGAGGAGGAACAGCTCGGGTCGGTGGCCGTGGGGACCAGGGTGAGGGCCTCGGGAGCTGGCTCCCTCCTGGGTGTGTCCCCGGCGGGGGGTGGGGGTGGGGGCTGTGGCTCGGAGAGGCCCGTGGGCAGTTGCTCTGCTCTGGGTTGCAAATGTCCCCCAAGAAGCCTGAGTGAAAGCCAAGCCCGTGGGAGGTGGGGGAGCCTCAGGGTGGCCTTGAGGTACCTGGGGGCTTGTCCTCAAAGGGAATCGGGCGGTGCCCACCTGGTCCTGTCTTCCCTGCCACCCCCACGAGGCGAGCACTTTTCCCGAGCTCCTACTGTGACATGCCACCACAGGTCAAAGCCACAGGGCCAGCCGGTCGTGGACCGCAGACTCCCCAACTCTGAGCCAGAGTAAACCTTTTTGCTTCGTAAGCCGCTTGTCTCGGGTCGTCTGTCACAGTGACTGAAAACTGACCAAGCAGCACAGCTCTGGGCGGGAGGGAAGCAGAGCCCAGGGCAGCTCTGAGTCCATCCCTCCCACCAAGGTGACCCCAACTGGCAGCTGGGAGTGAGGGGGTGGTAGTGTGGGGGCAGGGGATGGTCTCCCATTCCTCATCCCCCACCATCTGGCCCCTGGAGCTCTGTGCGTGGGGACTGGATGGAGGCTGTTCTGTGGAAGGGAAGACGCTCCTCGGGAACCTCTGCTTCCCTCTTTTTCGCAGCATCTGTCCCTCATCGGCCGCAGGCACCCCAATAGTCGAAGCCTACGCGTGACATTCTTTTCCTGTTAGTACCAGGGATGGAGCCCAGGGGTGCTGAACCCCTGAGCCCCGTCCCCAGCCCTTTTTAGATTTTACTTAGAGACTAGGTCTTGCTTGTTGAGTTGCTGAGGCTGGCCTCCAACTTGGGATCCTCCTACCTCAGCCTCCCGAGCTCCTGGGAGGACAGGCATGGGGCCCTGCACACGCATGTTTCTTTGATGGTGATTTCTTGTCAGCTGTAGAGATCTTAGAGGTGGCTTCGCCTGTCCTTCCGTCCGTGGCGCTGGGCTATGCAAGTGTTTGTTCTGTAGGCAGTGAAGGTGGCAGTAGCCGGTCCACCCAGTTGTCTTAACCGAGGCCTTCATGCACACACCTTGTGTCCATCTAGTCCTGTGCTGGGGACGGAGCCTGGGCCTCACAGGTGCCAGGCTCACGCTGAGCCCCTCCATTGCTGCCCCTCAGGTTGAGAGCTGGAGACTTTGTGGCCTGCTGGTTCCTTTGGGGACAGCTCTAGGGAAGACTCGTGGGGCTGGGCCCAGGAAGCGTCACTCGGACCCCTCTGAGCCTGGGTGACCTCGTCAGTTACTGTCTGTGTCCCTCCCAACCCCGCGGGGGCACCCAACCCAGGCCATTCTGCAGAGACGACGGTGACGCCGAGCTGCGAGTGGGCACCGTGCCCCCCACCTGGGGACAGGTCTGGCCAGTGGCCAGCCGCCCGCGCTGTGCGTGGTGACTGTGTCCTGGTCATCCCCAGGGTCCACCCGGGAGCTGGTGGAGACGTGCTGTGCGGCCGGGCAGCAGTGGGCCATCCTCAGGGACGAATGCACAGGGATCCCCGAGGGCTCCGAGGGCGACGTCTGCAGGTGAGCCGTCCCCGTCCCCTGCTCCACGCTGCTGGCGGGTGGTGCTCCCTGACCTGGGGCTGCAGGGGCGCCGTGACAAAAGTGCCAGAGAAGAAACAGCAGAAGGGACGGGAGGGTGACCTTGGCTCAGGTCTCTGAGGTCCCGTCCTGGCTGGCGCCTGGCGGGCACATGGTAGCATGGAGCCCACAGCCTGGTACCCAGGAGCCAGGGACGGAGTGGGCAAGGGTTGGTCCCACGGGCACAGCCCCCAGGGCCCACTCCTTCAGCTGGACCCACCTCCCGCGTGTCCACCACCTTCCAAGAGTCCACTAGAGTGATGAGTCCCCCCAGGCACCCTGGCGCACGCCTGCCATCCCAGCGGCTCGGGAGGCTGAGGCAGGAGGATCACGAGTTGGAGGCCAGCCTCAGCCACTCAGTGAGACCCTGTCTCTAAATATGGTGCACAGAGGGCTGGGGCTGGGGGTCGAGGGTCTTGGGTTCCATCCTGGTGGCCAAAAAAAAGTCATGGCACTTCGCTGGCTGAGCCCACTGAGTCAGTCCCCATGATCCAGTCACCTGCTGACGGCCACCGCTGAACACTACTCCCTTGGGGACCCTCCAGCCCCGATGTAGAAGCAGCCCCAGGAGTTCTCTGTCCTCAGCCTCCCTGGGGTCTCCAGTGGCTTGACCTCTCCCTGCCCCTGGGACCCCTGCTGCTTCCCAGCCAGTGCCCCCTGCCAGGCCCAGGGAAGGTCGGCAGAGCTCTGTGTCGCATAGAAGCCGTCTCTTCCAGCCGACTCCTTTTTCTGGACAAGGAAGGCAGGGCTCAGAGAGGTCGCTCCGTCCACCTGAGCCCCACAGCTCGCTGCCAGCCCGGCCAAGAGCAGGCCCTGTGTTCTGGTGTCCAGCCCACATTGCCCTCTTCAGAGGGATTTTGGTCCCACTGGTCCCTCCCCTGTCCTCTGTGCCGTCCCGTCAGTTCGGGGGCACGGAGGGTCAGAGTTGGAACCTAGCTGTCCTGGTGGCCACTGTGCCACAGCCTCATCCGCTGGGGACGCTGCACCTGCTGGTTTGTCTGTGCCCCTCGGCCTGGTCCTCCGTGGTCAGGAACGTGCAGCCTCGAGTCCAGCTGGACACAGACCCAGTCTTTGTGTTCAAGCCAAGGGGACGTGGGGCCGCGGAGCTGCACACAGGTCCCTCCTCTGAGACCCTCCACCTCCCCTCTGTGTTTTTGGTACTTATTTAGAGACAGGGCCTCACTGAGTTGCTGAGGCTGGCCTCCAACTCACGATCCTCCTGCCTCAGCCTCCTGAGCCCTGGGATGACGGGTGTGCCCACCGTGCCCGGCTGCTACTTTCCTTCTGTGAAATGGGGACTGTCACCCCCCGAGAGGGTCCCTGGGAGAACAGGAGCCAGCCGCGGCTGAGCCACCTCTCTTGCAGGACGGCCCAGAGATACTGCTGCACGTCCTACCTGAAGGAGAAGAGCTGCCTGGCCGGCGTCCTGGTGGCCAAGGAGGGCGGGCCCTGTGGGGCCGAGGACAATGACACCTGTGGCGTCTCCCTGTACAAGGCAAGCCCGGGGGTGGGGGCAGGCACGGCCAGGACGGGTGGACTGGCGTGGGTCCGACGGTCCTCCAGGGCCGGGCAGCTCCCCTCTGCAGGGCTCCTTGTTGGGGCTCATTTGGGGTCGGGGGACCTGCCACCCGCCCAGAAAGTCCCACCAGCAGCTGCGTTGGCCATCGGTCCATAGGTTCTTGAGCATGGGCTGCCTCGGGGCTGGGCATGTGGCAGTGAGCCTGGGGGGCCCCCTGCCCTGGGGGCCGTGGTCAGGGTGGTGGGTGGCATGGGGGGTCTTTCTGGGGGCAGGGAGCAGCAGGTGCCAAGGCCCTGTGGTGGGACGTAGGTTATGTGGCCCGGGCGTGGCTGAGAGGAGCCAGCAAACCAAGGGTGGCCGCAGTTGAGGTCGAGAGGTGACCAAGCAGGTCCCGTCCGTCCGTCGCTGGCGGGACTGTGGCGCTGCTGTGGAGGGACGGGACACTGGGGCATTTTTGAGGGCCATGACCGGGATCCCTGTGGGGACCGTTGTGAATGGTTGTCTCATGTGGGCGGTGGGTACAGATGGGGTCAGAGCCCACCAGAGCAGTGACAGAGCAGAGGGAGGGGAAGGTGCACAGGGGTGGGGTGGGGTCCTCAGCCTGATTGGGGCACATTCACGTTGTCACGTGGCTGTCCCCACCCTCCCTCTGTAGGACTCCTTCATCTTCCCGCATGGAGACTGTGTCCACTCAACACCAGCCCATGCCCCTCCCAGCCCCTGGTCCCCATCCTGCTCTGTGAATTGGCTTATTCTGGGACCTTGTACAGTGTCATGGCCTCATGGTGCCATCCTCCTGAGATGGGCTCACCGACCTCAGCCTCTATCCACGTGATAGCGTAGGTCAGGATTCCCTTCCTTTTTAAAGGCTGTATAGTACTCCACTCTCTGCCTGGATTACATTTTCTTGCTCCATCCACCCTTCAGTGACCATGTGGTGCCTTTTGCTCTTGGCTCTTGTGAGATACAGTGCCATTTGTGTCCGTGGACACTCGAAGATCCCCTCTGTTCTCTGTACTGCTACTTAGATGGACTGGGGGCCAGGCCTAGCTGCAGGGGAGGCTGGGAAGGAGAGGTCGGCTGCCCACTGAACACGAGCAAGGAGGAGGTCGGGCTTGGTATGGATCCTGAGGTGAGGGCAGAGGACCAGGGTGTCGGTCCCGAGTCAGAGGGGCCGAGAGGGAGGAACCGAAGCCCCCCATCAGGCTCCAGGTGGCACTGGGCAGAGGATTCCGACTGGGTCTTGTCACTCTGGGGTCACTCCCCCAGAGCCTGCCGTGTGGCGAGGCAGGTCTGGAGTCCGTCTGCCCCTCGCCTCTGGGCTCAGTGCCTCTCGATGGCCGTGAGCACTGGGGACTTTGCGGGGCTGGGGACACATGGGTCTTTGGTCCATGGACGTCACGCGTCCGCAGCACCGGCCAGCTCTGGTGGGCGGCAGACCGCCCCAGGCTTGGCTCAGGCAGGATCCGTCTCTCTGACTGTGCCCCGTCAGCGGCTCCTGGTTGGGCGGCCTCGGGTGGCTGCCCACAGGCGACCTGGGCTATCCTTGATCTGAGGCTGCCCTGTGTGGCCTCTCCTCCTCCCAGGCCGGCGGGGCCCGTGCAGTGGCCGCGTGCAGAGCCTTCTGTGGCCTCGGCTCAAACCGGAACACCGTCCTTCTGTCTCCACCTTTTGGCCAAAGCAAGTCCATGGGCACAACTAGGTGGTTGGAAACGCCTGCCTTCTGTCCTGTGCTGGGGCTGACCAGGGCTGCTGTCCGCTGAGCCACACCCCAGTCCTTAACAATTCCTAAACATCGAGACAGGGTCTTGCTAACTTGTTGAGGCTGGCCTCCAACTTGCAATCCTCCTGCCTCAGCCTCCCGAGCCGCTGGGATCATGGGTGTGGGCCACTGCGCCCAGCTAACTTGCTGAGTAAGAGAAGCTGGAACAGCACGTGGCAAAGTCAGAAAATGCAGGAACAGTTGGGGCTGTTATCACAACCACTCCACCATCACAGATTTAGAAACAGTGACACCAAGTTTCTTTTTGGGACCGACGGCCTGAGATGAGACAGAGCCACGCGACAGCTTTAGGGACCAGGCTTCTGTTCTTAGCTCAGAGCTTCAATCTTCATGGCTCAGTATGGCTGCGAAAGCCCCAGCCATCACAAGTGTGCTCAAAGGAGAGCAAGAATATATACTTCTGAGTAGAGTCAGTCCCCAAAAGATCTCCTGAAAGCCTGGTGACACTTGGGGAACTGCAGGGGCCTGGGGGACCAGCATCTGGCCCCACTAGGACTGCTGTATGCTAGGGGACCGGCCAGGGCTGGTGGTGAGTTCATAGTTTTTTCTATAAAAGGCCATTTATGGCTTATTTCAAAAAACTAGCCTGGCCCTGTCCTGCGCCACAGGACCCGGGGACAGGCGCCCCTGCCCTGGGAGAGGGCGTGGGCGGGCGGAAGACAAGTTTGACTCCAGAGCCCCCTGCTCATTCTTGGGGTCCTGCCTGTGCCACGGGGCTCTGAGGCCGGGGAGGTGGACGGTCGTGGGGAACAGCAGGCGCTGACGGCCGTCCCCTGCCCTCCAGCAATGCTGCGACTGCTGCGGCCTGGGGCTCCGCGTAAGGGCCGAGGGCCAGCCCTGCGAGGCCATCCCCGGCCTGGGCTACCCCTGCAGCCACGCCATGCTGTCCTGCTGCGAGGGACAGGACCCGCTCGTGCCCGAGGTGCGCCGGCCCCCGGAGCCCGAGGCTGCGCCACGCAGAGGTGGGTGACGCCTGCCAGGCCGGGGCGCCTGTGGCCACTTGTCTGCTCGTCCATCCATCCAGAAATCTGTGTGTCCGTCCATCCATGTATCCATCCATGAATCTGTCCGTCCACCCATCCACAGATCTGTCCACCGTCCATCAACCCATCCATCTGTCCACCTGCATGTCTGTCCACCTGTCTGTCCACCCAGGGCTCTGGCTGAGCACTGGCCTGAGGACCAGGTTCACCAGGGGTGGGGTCTGGGGTCCTCCCAGGGCCCAGCCCCGGGTCCTGGCAGGAGGGCGGAGGCCTGGGCTGCGGGCTGGGCCTCCCCAGCCTTAGGGGGCAGCTCCGCCCAGACCCTCGCCCACTCCCAGGCCTCCCTGCGCGGGGAGGGGCTGATCCCCTGCTGCAGCCACCGCAGACCTCACTGGTCGGTGGACAGGCACGGGGTCTCTGGACGGGTCAGACCTTGAGGGGAGCCAGGCCCACTGTCCTGTGCACTGTCCCTGAGTCCAGAGGTGCTGAATCCATTCCAACCCCTGAGCAACCCCCCCTGGGTGACAGGCCCTGTCACTCACAGGGGACTGTGGGGGCACATGGACCAGCCCCCAGCCTTTCCTTCCTGTTGCTGGACGTGTCTGTTCATCTGCCCACCTGTGTGTCCACCCAGCCGTCCAGCCCTCCTCTGTCCCCGCATCCACAAACCACCCACACACCCATCCCTCCACTTATCTGCCCACCCATCCGTCCATTTCTTTTTCTTTAATTTTGGTTCTGGGGATTGAACTTAGGGCACCTGGTCCCTGAGCCCCGTCCCCAGCCCTATTTAGAGACAGGGTCTCACTGAGCTGCTTAGGCCTCACTTTTCCTGAGGCTGGCCTCCAACTTGCGATCCTCCTGCCTCAGCCTCCTGAGCTGCTGGGATAACAGGCGTGGGCCACTGTTCCTGGCTTCCTTTCATTTCTTTCTCTCTCCATGCATCCGTCCCCCCTGCATCCATCCCCCCACTCCCCCACCTCTCTGGTGTCCATCTGTATGGGCTGTCCACCCTCCCTCCGTCCTCACCATCTCTGACCGCTGACCTGCACCCCAGTTTCAGAGGAGGACCTGGCGAGCCAGGAGGCCCTGTCCCTGGGCCCAGAGGCGGAGATGGCCAACAGCCTGCCCGGCGATGACCAGGACGAGTGCCTGCTGCTGCCCGGGGAGCTGTGCCAGCACCTGTGCGTCAACACGGTGGGCTCCTACCGCTGCGCCTGCTTCCCCGGCTTTGCACTGCAGGACGACGGCCGCACCTGCCGCCCAGGTAGGCCAGGCCCGGGCAGAGCGGCCTTCCTGGGAAGGGGCCTGTGGTCGTGCACACGTGGGAACTGGCAGGAGCTGGGGACCCCAGGCTTGGGGACTCGGGAGGCCGGCAGACGGGGCTTCCTTCCACAGGGGTCAGCCGCCTGCCCACTCTGGGGGATCTCGGGTGGCCCTGGTGCAGACGGCCCCTTCCTGGCAGGGGTCCGGGGGGTGATTCCTTCTTTTCTGTTTGAGGAGGCACTATGGACTCAGCTCAGGGCCCTCGACCCCCGAGCCACGTCCCCAGCCCTGCTTTTTGTTGGTCTCACTGAGTTGCTGAGCACCTCGCTTTTGCTGAGGCTGGCCTCCAACTCCATCCTCCTGCCTCAGCCTCCCCAGCTGCTGGGAGTTCAGGCGTGGGCCACCGTGCCTGGTGGTCCATGGATCTTCACTCAGATAATCACCTCCCGTCCCCCCCACCCCGGAGTTGTTGTCTCTGTGGTGGCCCTGGCCAAGGACGGCTGGTGCCCGTGAGTGCTGAGGCCCGGGGAAGACTGAGCCCGCTGCTGTCCTCACAGACGGAGAGTCCCCGCAGCAGGGGGCTGCCCAGGAGACCCCGCTGAACCCAGAGCCAGCCCAGGAGCCCCCCAACACTATCCCGCTGCCCCGGCCGCAGCCCAACACCTGCAAAGGTGAGCAGGGGTGGTGTCCCCGGGGGTCCCGGGGCCACCAAGGTAGGTGCCGAGGGCTCCAGTGCTGGGCATGTGGCCCCCGCCTCAGCACCTGGCCCTGTCCTCTCACCGGGGACTTGGGGAGGGAGACTCAGGCCACCTGTCACCCGGTCATTCCTGGTGCCGGGAGTGTGTTCGTGATCTCCCATTTGTAAGTCCATCCACCCAGCCGCCCACCTGTCCACTCACCTGTCCGTCCACTCGCCTGTCCGTCCACTCGTCTATCTGTCCACCCATCTATCCACCTGCCCATCCACCCCCCACACACACTGATCCGCCCGCCCATCCACCTGACCACCCACCTTCCCGCCCGTCCGTCTGTCCACCCGTCCGTCAGTCCACCCGTCTGTCTGTCCACTCGTCCACTGTCCTCTGCCCTCTCTGGGCCTGTTTCTGTTGAACTCAGATCTGAGTCGCGAGGAGCCGCGTGGCGGGTGGGGGTGGCAGGTGGTGGGAGGAGGGTGGCGGGCGGCACCTGATGTCCCTGTCCCCCCTGCAGACAATGGGCCGTGCCGGCAGGTGTGCCGCGTGGTCGGGGGCACGGCCATGTGCTCCTGCTTCCCTGGATACGCCATCATGGCGGACGGCGTGTCCTGCGAAGGTGAGGACCCGGCTGCTGCCGCCTGGGGAACCTGGGGGTCGCGGTGGGGGGCAGGCCACAGCCTCGCCGTGTCCATGAGGTCTGGCTCCTGGGACAGAGCCCCCTGGAGCCCTGAGACAGTCACTCTGTGTCACCGAGCCATGTGGGAGGTGCCCCCGGGTGGGCCCATGTCCTGCTCCTGAGGCCCAGGGCCAGCTCCTTCGCCCGTTCTCCTGGTGACTGCGGAGCCATGCTACGCAGCCCGGACATCATCCCCGTCCCCTGCAGCCCTGACCAGGGACTCCCCAGAGGTCCCGACCTGCAGGTCTGGGTGGCCTGAGGATCCGCATTTCTTTCTTTTTGGTCCCAGGGGCTGAACTTGGGCCCCCCAACCCCTGAGCCCTGTCCCCAGCCCTGTTCTGGACAGACAGGGCCTCCCTGAGCTGCTCACGGCCTCGCTGTGGCTGTGGCTGTGGCTGAGGCTGGCTTCCAACTCACAATCCTCCTGCCTCAGCCCCCCGAGCTCTGGAATGACCCACCCGTGAGACCCTGCGCCCGGCTGAGGTCTTTGTGTTTCTCAGAGCGACCCTCGGGCCTGGCTCATGGACCACATCTCAGCTCGCCTGTCCTTGAGGGTCACCCCTGTCTGGGTGGCTGTTGGTCTGTGGCCAGCAAGTACATCCACGTTCCCACTTGGGTAGAGATCAGAGGGACAGAGAGACGACATGCCCCATTGTCGTGTGGGTGGCATGCAGAGATGGCCCCATCCCTCCTGCTGTCCTAATAAGAACCTGCCCTGTGTCCACCTCTTCTGTGAGATGGGTTCCCATGTGGACCAAAAATACCCTGTGAGCACAGAGAGGGCAACGGATTTGCCTGAATCACACAGCATGGTGGTAGCATGCAGGTCTCTCTCTCCATGTGGGGACAGGTTTCAGGACCAGGTGATACTGTGTCCTCTGGGCTCTGCTTCCTGTCCCCCCCAGACCCTGAGGGCCTGAGGAAGGCATTGCTCTTGGGTCAGGATTCCTTTGAGCCTGGCCCCATGAGCAACCTGAGGCCCAGGGCCCAGCCCCACTCTGCCTCTGCTGGCCATGTGGACTGGTCAGTGTCCCCATGTCTGCAGGTCCCCTTGGTCCTCTGGAAGTAAGAGCTGAGGCCGGAGGCTGCAGACAGACGTCCTACAGGTGCAGGCAGCCTGCCCTGTGGAGATGTCCTCCCTCTCCGCTGTGTTCTCAATGATCAAATGAAGCCAGGCGCTTGGCCACGTCTGCCCACCCAGCCACTCAGGAGGCTGAGGCAGGAGGATGGCAAGGTGGAGGCCAGCCTCAGCAACAGTGGGGCCCTAGGCACCTCAGGGAGACCCTGTTTCAAATTAAAACACAAAGGAGGGCGGGGACGGGCTCTGGGCTCTGGTGCCCCTGGGTCAATCCCTGGTACCAAAAAAAAAAAAAAAGTGACTCTCCAACCGTGACAACCCCAAGGTTCTTAGAGCGTCTGCAGACGTGAGGTTTCTCCTGCATCTTGGTACGTCTGCCCAGCAGGGCCGCACCTCCACCCCACTTTGGCCAGAGCTCAGCCCTGCCGTGCCCACTGAGCTGCTCTGACCCTGGGCCCTCTCCTGTCCCTGTGACCACCTGGCCCCCTGAGCACTGGGGGCTGCAGCCCCTTCTGTTACCAGGGCTGGGGCAGGTTCGCAGTGGGGGCAGGAGGCGGTGTCTGATCTGCCCTGCTGTGTGACTGTGGGTGGGCCGCCTGCCCTCTCTGAGCCTCACTTGCCATCTTGGGGCTCTGTGGACTCAGACTTGGGTCCAGGCTGAGCTGTCCCACGGACGGGCTGGGAGGCCCTGGACAGGTGGGTCCTGCCCCCCGGGTCTCGGCCCGCGGACCTGTGGCTGGCACCCGCGCGCTAACGGCCACTCTGTTTTCCTCCCGTGGCTGCGGCTAGACCAAGACGAGTGCCTGGCGGGCACTCACGATTGTGGCCGGCGACAGTTCTGTGTGAACACCCTGGGATCCTTCTCCTGTGTCAATCACACACTGCTCTGTGCCCAGGGCTTTATCCTCAACGCGCACAGGAAGTGCGTGGGTAAGCGCCAGGCCTCCCGCCGCCTGCTCACGGCCGCTCTGCTCCACGCGCCTGCCACGCGCTAAGGCCCCTCCGTGAGCTGTCCCCAGCCGGCACCCCCGCTCCGTCTCACGCCCTTGTCCTGGCCTCTTGTCCTGTCTTTCCTCGGGGAAGCCTCTTTGTCCAGCGACATCCCAAGGAGTCAGAACACTCAGCAGAATGTGTCCCCAGGCTGGGTGGGTCGCTGCAGAGGGCATCAGGCCCCGTGGGGTCTGGAGGCAGTGGGGCAGCTGGGAGTTCCCGTCTCTGACTTTGGACAAGTCACTTGCCTTTTCCCGGCCACAGTTTATCCTAGTCTGTTACAGAGAAAGCTGCTTCCAGGTGGGGTGGTGCACACCTGCCATCCTAGCCGCTCCGGAGGCTGAGCAGGAGGATGGCAAGTTGGAGGCCAGCCTCGGCAACTTAGTGAGGCCCTAGGCACCTCAGTGAGACCCCTGTCTCTTAAAAGTAGAAAAGGGCTGGGATGTGGCTCGGGGGTTAAGCACCCTGGGTTCAATCCCTGGCACCAAATAAAAAAAAGTGGATCTTACATTGATCTTCCTTTGATGACCACTGGACATGTACAGTCCAGAGCCTGGGTCTAGCTGTCCAGGTACTTGGGATGCATCTAGAATCTTCTCCAGAGGTTCATGACAGAGGCTGGGGTCCAGCTAATCTGGTTTTGTACCCCACCATTTGCTGGGTGACCCCGAGCAGTTCAGCTACCCTCTCTCAGCCTCTGTGGTGCCCAGTGGAGGAGGCAGGGCCTGGACCCAGTGCCCACCCTGCGCAGGCCGCAGTGGCTGCTGGGTGATGGCGCTCCGGCCTATTCCTTGGTGCTGGTGTGGCCAGCGGCCGGGGCTCCCGGGCCTCTGTGGGTGGTGGGCCAAGGACACAGGAGCCCTTGGTTATCTACAGGGCATGGTCCCCAAATGGAGGTAGACGCAAAGGCACAGCAGGGGACTCGGGGGCTCAAGCTATAGCAGAGACACGGGCAGAGCAGCTGTTGTCGCTGGAGAGGGTGGAATCTGCCCGATCCCCCAGGATGGACAGGCTCGGAACCGGGAAGGGTGTGCAGGCTGGGAGGAACGGCCCAGACGAAGGCCCAGAGGTAGGGTCTGCACAGAGGTCGCTCAGGGCCCAGGATAGGCCCCCATGTTATGCCTTCTCCTTGCTTGGAGGCCATGTCCAGCCTGGAATGTCCCCTTTGTGACCCTCTGCTGCTGGGCAGACAGGCCCGGGGTGCTGGCTGAGCGACTTTCACAGACATGTTTGCCCCTGGCCTCCAGCCACGGGCAGAACATGTGCCCTCTTGAATCTGCTTGCCGGTGGCTGGCCATCCTCCTGTGCGGGTCGGGGCTGTGTGTGCGTCTGGGAAGGCAGATCCCACCGGGGCCTGTGGACGCCCTTCCCAGGACGCCCTCTTCCTGCCTGCCCCAGTGTGCGGGCTTCCAGGTGGCCTGGGAAAGAAGATCTTGTGCTCTTAGGGGTCCCCAGGCAGCCGGGAAGCGGGTTTAAGAAATGAAATGCCAACGGTCCGTCCACTGAGCAAGGTTCAGCAGCACACATCTGGCTGCCCGCCTGCTTCCTGCACCGCACACGTCCTGTCTGATCGTCTGAGTGTTCTTTATCGCCCACAGGCCTGCCCCACACTCTGTCCATTACGTGCACGTCCATGACCGTCTCCCAGGGCTCCTGGGGTTCCTATGTTCCTCCGCAGGCGGGAGGGGAGGCTCAAGTCCTGCTTTTTGCACTTTATTACTCCTAAGACCTTCAACAAAATTGCTCCACCTCCTGGAGCAACATTCCCTCATCCGAGAGTGAGATAAGCCCCCACCTCAGAACTGTGAGGTAGGCCAGGTGCAGGGGTGCACACCTGTCATCCCAACAGTTGGGGAGGCTGAGGCAGGAGGATGACAAGTTGGAGGCCAGCCTCAGCAATAAGGCCCTAAGCAACTCAGTGAGACCCTGTCTCTAAATAAAAGGGCCTGGGGATGGGGCTCTGGGGTTAAGCACCCTTGGGTCAATCTCTGGAACCAAAAAACTCTTTGAGTTCAGGTAAGAAGTGGGCTACAGCTGTGGTGTCGTCATTATTTTTCTTCAAATACATTACACAGAGGCAGTGAGCGCCCCAGCACTAGAGGCATGTGAGCCTAAGTGGGACGGTGTTGGCTGTCACCTTTGCCAGGGACTCCCGTGTGTTCTGCCCTCAGAGGACTGTCTAGTCCCCTGGGGCGGGTGCCCCAGGTGGGCTGGGCTGCAGGAAGTCGGGAGGTAGAAGAGCGCCGCTGCCGCTGCAATCCAGCCGCCTTGGCTCACCTGTGATTCGGGGGGGTCTCCTCACCCCACCCCCTGCTCCCCTAGTCCTCTTTAGTGTCTCCAGCTCCTTCCTGGACCCGCGGCCACCGGGCTCCCAGGCTCCCCTGCGGGATGGCCACCGGTCACACGGCCCTTTCTTTCTTCCATCTTGTCTGTCAATGCATCTCATTTTTTCTGCCTCCGTTTTTTCTAGAATCTTCCAACTCCTCCTCCCACCTCCATGTGTGGTGCTCCCAGCCACCTCCGTCTCCTGCCTGGCTTGTCTTCAGCCCTAGTCCATTCTCCTCTGCAGCCAGGACACCCTCCCCCCTTCTGCGGAGAACCCTCCATGGCTCCCACCTACCCTCCACCTTCACTGGCTCAGTCTTCTCTCCCCTGCAGCCACACCTCTGCCGGGGTCCTGACTGGTCCCGGCCCTCACACAGCTGTCCCCTCTGCCTGGACCATCAGTTTGGCTGTCTCTGTCACCTCTCCCAGGTTCTTGTCCACATGTCCCCTTCACTCCTGCTGCACCGACCTCCCCACTCGTGTCCCACTTCCTTTTCTCCATAACGCTGGTGACCACCCTCCTTGTCGTGTGCATTGACGTATCTGAGCGTCTGCTCCGCGAGGGTAGGCGTGTCTGTCTGTCTTGGTCGCTGACCTGTCCCTCTTGCCAAGAAGCGTGCTTGACACGTAGCTGGTGCCTAGTAAATCTTTGTTGAATGAAGGGAGTCTTGGATAAGGGGACATCAGCCATGTGCTCCTCTCTGGATGGTGAGTACCTCCAAGGGCAGGGCCTGGCGCTTCCTGCCTCCTGGTGGCCTGAGGTCCCCTGGTGGCCTGAGGTCCCCTGGACCCAGAGCGCCCTGCAGGTCCTGACGGCCACCTCACGCACTCTCCCCGCAGACATCAACGAGTGTGTGACGGACCTTCATACGTGCAGCCGGGGCGAGCACTGCGTGAACACCCTGGGCTCCTTCCGCTGCTACAAGGCGCTCACCTGCGAGCCCGGCTTCGCCCTCAAGGACGGCGAGTGCACAGGTGAGAAGGGGCGGAGGCCGGCCTGTGGGGGGGGGGTATCCTCCCCAATCCCGCCCGCCTCTGGCCATGCCCCTCCCCAAGCCTGGCCACGCCCCTCCCCAAGCCTGGCCACGCCCCTCCCAGCACCAACTCCGCCCTCTGCCTGCTTGGCTCCTCCCTGGCCACGCCCTCACCAGTTCCACCCACAACCCTAGCCATGCCCTTGACCAGACCCACCCCCGACCAGCCCCACCTCCTCCAGCCACGCCCCTGACCAGCCCCACCCACTCCAGCCACGCCCCTGACCAGCCCCACCTACTGCAGCCACAGCCCTGGCCAGCCCTGCCCACAAACCCAGCCACGCCCCTGATGAGCCCCAGCCACGCCCCTGATGAGCCCCAGCCACGCCCCTGACCAGCCCCACCCACACCCCCGACCACCCCCCCCCCCAGCCCCACCCACGCCCCTGGCCGGCCCCACCCATAGCCCCAGCCACGCCCCTGGCCAGCCCCACCCATTCCAGCTAAGGCCCTGAACAGCCCCAGCCCAGCTCCTTAGCCACACCCTCTCCAGCCACGCCCCTGAGCGGCCCCACCCCCAATCCTAGCCACGCCCTGCCCTGGTCCGAGTGAATTGTCCTTCATTGTAAGTGTCCAGCTCTCACATCTATTTCTTCCCCATGGAAAGACGTCACCTTCAGTGTTGGGGGCAGAAGGGCAGAGGGTGGGGTCTGAGGACGGATGTGGGGAGGCCGCCCCCTGGAGGAGCACTTCTGTCCCTTTTACCAGAAAACTGGAGCCTTCTAAGGAGAGGCGGCGTTTCTCCACTGGCATTTCCCGAGCCGCGTCTGGGTGCCAGGGGTGGGGGTGAGGTGCAGTGTCCTCCTTCTGGCTGCGTGGGAGGGGACACGGGAACTGGGCAGAGATGGAGAGAGCAGAGTGGCTGTGGGCTGGGTGCTCCTGGGGTGGGGCGGCCCGAGGAGGCCCCCAGTGCAGGCGATGTCATCCTCGGGACTGAACAAAAGAAGAGCAGGAAGGGTGTTCCAGGCAGGGGGGCACTGTGGAGACAGGGAGGGTGGGATCGTGGCATGTTCGAGAAGAAAGACAGGCTCAGGGGTTGGGGCTTCTGTGTTACCAGTGCCGCCTCTGTGTGTGCGCAGTGCATGCGCTTGTCATCCCAGCAGCTCAGGAGGCTGAGGCAGGAGGATTGAAAGCTGGAGGCCAGCCTCAGCAACTTGGCAAGGCTCTAAGTGACTCAGTGAGATCCTGCCTCTAAATAAAAAGTAAAGAGGGCTGGGGACGGGGCTCAGTGGTCAAGCACCCCCGGGTTCAATCCCCGGTATCAAAAATAGAAAAGCATCCACGCAGGACCTATCTTACGGGTGTAAGCTGTTGTCACCACGTGCTTACGACAGTACCTGGAACCCCGGGGCAGCTCGGTAAATGAGCTCATGCCATCGCACTCTGGGGACACGGGCCACACTAGTGACAGGACTCTGCCAGCTTCCTGCAGCAACCTTTGAGCCATCCTGCATCCTGAGGGCAGGGCTGGGTGGGCTGGGTGCTGGGCATGCGGGTCAGGGGCTGCCCTTCACCCCGGGCCTCTGTGTGCCAGACGTGGACGAGTGTGCGACGGGCACCCACAACTGCCAGGCGGGCTTCTCGTGCCAGAACACCAGGGGCTCCTTCTACTGCCAGGTGCGGCAGCGCTGCATGGAGGGCTTCCTGCAGGACCCCGAGGGCAACTGCGTGGGTGAGTGGGCGCGGCTCAGCGGGGCCCCCTCCTCAGGCTCCTCCGGAGGTGTCCTCCAGCTCCAAGCGCTGTATTTTGGGCACTGGGGATTGAACTAGGGACACTCGACCCTGAGCCCCGTCCCCAGTCCTGTTTCCTGTTTTATTTAGAGACAGGGTCTCCCTGAGTTGGTTAGGGCCTAAGTTGCTGAGGCTGGCCTCCAACTCGCGATCCTCCTGCCTCAGCCTCCCAAGCCCCTGGGATCACAGGTGTGCCCCACTGCACCTGTCTGCTCCCAGCACTTTGAGACCAGGTGGACCCAGCTTGCGGCTCTGTCACAGCCTCTGTCTCCACCTGCGATGGGCATGCCCAGTGGCCAGCCCCAGGAGATGCTTGCAAAATGCTACCTGCCCTCCCCACCTCAGTCGTCTCACCTTGGCAGTTACTTGTCCTGTGGCCTCGGTTTACCCATTCTCGGGGTTGGACTGGAAGAATGCATATCACCTGGCCTGTGACATCTGATACGGTGACCTGGTAGAGACACATGCAGAGGGAAACAGAACACCGGTTTCACAGCACAGCCCCACGGGAAACTCAGGTCCCGGCATAGTGGTGCACTAATCCAGCAGCTCAGGAGGCTGAGATACGAGGCTGAAAGTTGGAGGCCAGCCTCAGCAACTCAGCCAGACCTGCGTCTAAATAAAATACAAGATAGGGATGGGGGTGGGGCTCAGTGGTTGAGGGCCCCGGGTTCAATCCCCAGCACCAAAACAAGACAAGTGCTAGTGAGACCTTCTAGAATGATCCCAAGGATTGAGAGCTACAGTTTGATGGATGCTGGGCCAGTTGTTGTCCCCAAGAGGTTCTGAGGGCCCACACTGCCCCCACCCACCATCGTCCCCTTCCAAGAAGCTGCTGGTCAGCCACAGAGCCAGGAGGTCCCAGCTCCCCAGAAGCTGTGGGCCTGCTCCCTCGGAGGTAGAAGCTCAGCTTCTTGTACGAGGGACACTCAAGGCCACATTCAGTCTTGGGAATGAGCTGTGCAGAGGGACAGGGGAAGGACAGGTGCTGTGCAGAAGTCTGGTCTCCCTAGACTGGTCCCGAGGGTTGTCCCGTGGAGATGATATCAGGGCAGGGACTTCAGGGAGTACACAAGCCAGCTAGGGAAATATTAGAGGTCAGTGTAGGCCGGGAAACAGGCAGCGTGTGCAAAGGCCCTGTGGTGGGGCTGTGCCTGCATATTGTAGCTTCTTGGAGGACTGTGGGGCTGGGAGAAGGGGGTGCAGGCCAGGCTAGGCCCATGGGCCCCAAAGCCCTGTCCACCCCTGCCCTGGAGTCTGGGACCAGCCGCTTCCCAGTGCAGCCCTAGGCTCAGGGAAAGGCCCCTGCCAGGCTCCCTGTCACCCACCTCCCTTCTGCAGACATCAACGAGTGCACGTCGCTGCCGGAGCCCTGCCGCTCGGGCTTCAGCTGTGTCAACACCGTGGGCTCCTACACGTGCCAGAGGCACCCGCTGGTCTGCCGGCGCGGCTACCACGCCAACCAGGACGGGTCGGCCTGTGTGGGTAAGCCGCCGGCCTCCCTGCCTCCTGGCCTCCAGGCCTCTGCCTGCCCGGGGTTCCCAGCCACAGGAGGCTGCAGAGGGAGCGGGACTCAGCTGCTGCCCCCCGCTGTCCTCCCCAGACGTGGACGAGTGTGAGACGGGGCTGCACCACTGCGGGGACACACAGGTGTGCCACAACCTTCCCGGGTCCCACCGCTGCGACTGCAAGCCGGGCTTCCAGAGGGACGCCTTCGGCCGCTCCTGCATCGGTAGGTGGGGCGCGGTGGGTGCAGGCGCGCCCTCCGGGGTCCCTTGGGGTCCCCCAGGGTCCCCCGCAGCCAGGGTGGTGCCCGCCGCCCCTCCCGGAGGCCAGCCTTCCCCTGCCCCTCCTGTGCCCAGTGGGACCCGGGTGCAGGGTGGCCTCCCACGCCCGCTGCCGCTGTCCCCGCAGACGTGAACGAGTGCTGGGCCTCGCCGGGCCGCCTGTGCCAGCACACATGCGAGAACACGCTGGGCTCCTACCGCTGCGCCTGCGCCTCGGGCTTCCTGCTGGCCGCTGACGGCAGGCACTGCGAAGGTACCCACCCGCCTGGCCCCTGGCCGCCTGGGGACGCCCACCGTGCTGGGAGGGGCCACAGAACCCACCCCCGAGGGCCCCCAAGCCCCTAGGTCCCTGGTGGCCCATTTCCCTGGCTCTCCAGAAGCCCCTAGTGTCCATGTTTGTGGAGTCGGTTTGAACGGCCCTGGGTGGACTTCAACTCTCTGTTTTTTTTTAATAGGGTCACATCCTGAACCCCGTCCCCAGCCATTTTTATATATTATTTAGAGACAGGGTCTCCCTGAGTTGCCTAGGGTCTCACTAAGTAGCTGAGGCTGGCCTCCAACTTTTGATCCTCCTGCCTCAGCCTCCCAGCCCCTGGGATCACACAGGCACCACTGCACCGGGCTCCCTGCTACTTTTGACGTAGTGATTGTTTGACTTGCTTGTCACTTTGCCCCTGTGCTCTTCTGTGTGTGCACGTGACCTTCCTGACTTGGGGACTTGTCTGTCTGGCTCATGGGTATGTCCCCAGGTACGCCCAATAGCAGGGACCTGGCAGCCCTTGTGGAGGCCTGTGTCAGCACCCAGGTGGCCACACCCCCAGAGCCGCGTGGGGGCAGCACCAGGCCCCCAAGCACTGACCTGACCTGTGACTACCCCACTGGGGGCAGCCCCCCGGCCCTGGCCCTGCCCTGCCCCGCCCCTTGCCCCCGACTGGCTCCCTGTCCTTCTCCTGGCCTCTGGCTCTCCACTAGTCCCCAAAACGTGAGAACTGACCGTTTCTAAAGGGCAGGCTCCGGGAGAGCCGACCCCGGCCTCACCGCCCGCCCCTGCCGCCCTGCAGATGTGAACGAGTGCGAGGCCGGGCGCTGCAGCCAGGAGTGCGCCAACATCTACGGCTCCTACCAGTGCTACTGCCGCCAGGGCTACCAGCTGGCCGAGGACGGGCACACCTGCACAGGTGGGACTCCCTCGCCCGTGGGCCGCCCTCACCTGGCGCCCCTCCCGAGGGCCGCCCTTGCCCGGGCTCCAGGCTCCCAGAGCACTGCTCCAGGGCTGGGCGCCCAGGGCCTGTAGCGCTGTGTCGCGAGGTCCATGTTCCAGTCCCAGCCCTTCAGTCGCCTGCTGTGGTGTCTTGGGGAACTGCTGGGCCACTCTGACCTCAGGCTCCTCCTCTGTACCCGGGAGACGCCCCGGCCTCTCTGGTGAAGGATGGAGTCAGATCTGGGACGGAGGCTGCGCAGTCCTCGGCTGCTGGGGCCTTGCTCTGCAGCCCTGGCCCACTTTCTTCGGTTGCTGTCAGCGGCTGGGACCTGGGGTGGGCTGGGGTCACCAGGGCCCAACTTCTCCCTGGCAGACATCGACGAGTGCGCTCAGGGCGCGGGCATCCTCTGCACCTTCCGCTGTCTCAATGTGCCCGGGAGCTACCAGTGCGCCTGCCCGGACCAGGGCTACGCCATGATGGCCAACGGGAGGACCTGCAAGGGTGAGCAGGGGCCCTGCCCTGCGGGGCTCAGGGGCTCCAGGCAACACAGGGAGGCTTAGCGCACCAGCAGAGAAAGGCCTGCGCCACCTGGGTCGTGTTAACTGAGGCCTAGGTTTGGGAGGAAGGAGGCAGGTCTTGGGGTACTCGATCCAGTTCAGAATCTCCCAGGCCCAGACTCAGCCTGGACCCCGGCCTGGAAATGGGACAGGGATCCCACGGGCTGGTTTTTTTTGGTTGTTGTTGTTTGTTTTTAATACCAGGGATTAAACTCCGGGCCCTCGACCCCTGAGCCACACGGTCTCCCTGAGCTGCTTAGGGCCTCCCTTATTGCTGAGGCTGGCCTCCAACTTGCGATCCTCCTGACTCAGCCTCCCGAGCTCCTGGGATGACAGGTGTGGGCCACAGCACCCGCGACCCTGCCCATTTTTGAGAGTAAGACCAAAGGACAGAAAGAATTGGAAGACACTTAGGATTAGCTGCCTAGGAGTAGATGCTCTGTGAAGGTGGGGCCACATCTCCCTTGCTTACCCCACTAGAGAGTGCCCAGCACACAGTAGGTGCTCAACGAACATTTGACAGACAGCTGGATTGACAGACAGGTGGTGTCAGTGTACTTGGATACATTAGATTTCCTTCCATCTTTCCTTGTGCAAACACACACACACACACACAGTTGGCCTTTTGTATCTGCAGGTTCTTCGTCCTCAGATTCAACCAAATGTGGGTTAAACGTATTAAAATTCGCCCGGCACAGTGGTGCACGCCTGGAATCCCATCTGATCGGGAGGCCGAGGCAGGAGGATCACAAGTTGGAGGCCAGCCTTAGCAACTCAGCGAGACCCTGTCTCTAAATAAAACATAAACAGGGCTGCGGACGGGGCGCAGGGGTTAAATGTCTCTGGTTCAGTTCCCGGGACCATAAAAAACCAGGAAGTCAGGGCTTCCTGTGGGCCTGGTGAGGCCAGGCAGCCCCTGGCCACGGGAGACCTTCCCTCTGTTCTGGACATGGCCATCTGCGCTGGCCCCGGGCAGAAGCTAAAGCAGCCCTGCATCCTGCCCTGGCCACGGCCAGGCACCTGGGTCCCCAGTGTGGGAGGCCCAGGGCAGAGGCCAAGGAGTGGAGGAGGGTCTGGCTTCCTGTGGTGACCGTGGCTGCCCAGCCTCAGCCACCCCTGCCCTGGCCTCAGGCCGTGCTCCTCGCACTTGCCTGGGGCAGCCGTGGGGTGGACGGATGCCCCGAGTCCTGCAGGAGCTGTGCTGGCCAGCAGCCCGGGACAGAGTGTCCAGAGCTAGGGGTTGGGGCTCGTCTTTGTCCCTGTGGCCTGGGCGGTCTGCGGGTTTCAAGGACACCGGTCCCTGCCTCCTGGGCTGCTCTGGGTGTCATGGGAAGGTCAGGGTGGACTCTGCAGGGAGGTCGTGGTCATCGTCACCACCTTGTCACCACTGCCACAAAGGGCTGGTGTTTTTCCTGGCACCTGAGGGCACCTGGGTTCCTTGTGTTTGGCCAGAGGCTGACCAGGGGGCTCCCCCGGGCCCCGCCTGGCCCTCTCTGCCTTACTTAGAGGCAGGGCCTCGCCCAGCCGTTCTGACCTCACCAAGTGGCTGCGGCTGGATTTGAACTCGCGATCCTCCGGCCTTGGCCTCCCTAGCTGCTGGGCTGACTGGCTGCCCCACTGCCCGGTGGAGCCTGGATTTGATACCCTTGGAGCCCAGCCCCCCTGCTGACACCGAGTGATGGCAGGGACTCTGTCCCCTGGATCTGAGCTGCCCACGCCCCAGGAGGCCAGGTCTGCTGGCAGAGTTGGGGGTGGACTGAGCCAGGGCAAGCTCTCAGGTGTCACCGTGCAGCGCTCCAGGGGCCACCTGGGGCCTCCCGGGATTGTCCTCTCTGCACCAAGTGGCTGGGTGCCTGGGTCCGTCCATCCGTCTGTCTGTCTCACACGCGCTGCTCCGAGCCTTTTCTGGGTTGGCGTGTCCGTGGGTCTGTCTGTCTGGGGCTGTGAGCTGCAGAGCCCTGAGTGGCTGTCCCCATGCCCCTGTGGGTGCCGCAGAGCCCGTGCGTGCGTGTGGTGGCTGTGCGTGCAAGGGCTCTGCACAGGCCGCATTCCTGGAGCATGAGTGTCCCGTCTGGCGGGGCCCTGGGCGGCTGCGCGTCCCCAGGCGGGGCCCTGCATGTGTCCAGAAGCACGTGGGGGGCGGCTGCCCTTGGCGGCCATTGGTCCTTCTGGGTGCCTGGGACCGGAGGGACAAGCAGCCCTGTCCTCCCAGAGCCCAGGCTGAGGAGGGGAGGGTGGAGGTGAGACAGCCATGCAGCAGCCTTGGTGTGTGTCAGAGTGTGACAGACGGTGACAATGGTTCAGGGACGAGCACGGGGTCGGCAGGAGGGACAGCATTGAGTAGCCTGGTGGGCCATCCTGCAGGAGGGACGTGGCACCCGAGGCCTGGGCGTGAGTGGGAGCCAGTGTGGAAAGATGCGGGGAAGCTGTTGTGACCACTGCAACGGCATGTGCAAAGGCCCGGGGGTCAGGTCAGGCCCCTGGCTGTCCAGGTGTCCTGCAGGACCGTGGCCCCTGTGCAGGGGAGGGCGCAGAGGAGGCCAGACTCCGTGGTCTGTCTCAGGCTGGGTCCTGGGAGCCCCTCTCACTGTCCGTCCTGTCCCCTCAGACCTGGACGAATGTGCCCTGGGCACCCACAACTGCTCCGCGGCCGAGACCTGTTTCAACATCCAGGGCGGCTTCCGCTGCCTGCGCTTCACGTGTCCCCCCAACTACGTCCAAGTCTCCGAAATGTGAGTCCCCTGAGTCCTGGCCTTGCACCCCCAGCCCTGCGCTGATCCCGCGTTGCCTGGCCAAGGGACAGGCCCTGCCGCGGTCACCTCCTGCCCCACGGCCCCGACGCCGTGTCACGTGCAAACGGAAACGGCTCTCACAGCGTGGAGCAGGGGACCCGGAGAAGCCCACGCCCCATGCCTCTGGCCCTGTGTCCCTCTCTGTGTCCCTATGTCTCTGTCTCTGTCCCTGTTTCTCTATCTCTCTGTCTCTGTGTCTCTCTTTGTCTCTCTCTGTCCCTCTCTCTGTCTCTGTCTTTCTGTCTCTGTCCCTGTCACACATAAAGACAACACATGGTCTGCAGCCTGAGTGACAGAGGTACCCAATACTCCACACCCCGGGTGACAGAGGTCCACGGTCCCATTCTGTCTCTGGGGGCTGGAGCCGTGGCTGTGGCCTAGGCTCAGGGTCTCCTGGGGCTGCAGTGACCCCCTGGGGGCCGCGCTATCCCAGGGTTGGACAGCTCGGGTGGCTCGGGGCGGGAGGCCCGTGCGGAGCGCAAGCCGCTGTCCTCTTGGAAGTGACAGCACATGACCTGTGCCCCTGGCCACACAGCCTTGCACTGCCAGAGCGGGGTGGGGGGAAGGCCAAGCAGGACATGGCTGGCAGCAGGGGTCCCTAAGTGCGATGGGAAGAGGGAGCAAGCCGGGAGGAGAGGGGGAGAGCAGAAAGGAAGAGTGACAAGGACAGGAGCCAGCCGGGCGGTGGCCACACTGCCGTCCCAGCAGCTGGGGAGGCTGAGGCAGGAGGATGGCAAGTTGGAGGCCAGCCTCAGCCACTTAGGCCCTGAGCAGCTCAGTGAGAGCCTGTCTCTAAATGAAAAGCAAACAGGGCTGGAGAGGGCTGGGGTCGAGGGCTGGGGTTCCCTCCTGCTGCAAAAAAGGAGCCCCCCACGAACCCCGCCCGGCTGCCTGCCCCGCGTCCTCCCGCGTCCTCCCTGACGCAGGCGCCGCTGACCCGCCCCCGCCCGCAGGAGGTGTGAGCGCGCGCACTGCCCGGACCCCGCCGAGTGCCAGGCGTCCCCGGCGCGCATCACGCACCACCAGCTCAGCCTGCAGACGGGGCTGCTGGTGCCCGCGCACATCTTCCGCATCGGGCCCGCGCCGGCCTTCGCGGGGGACACCATCTCGCTGACCATCACCCGGGGCAACGAGGAGGGCTACTTCATCACGCGCCGCCTCAACGCCTACACGGGGGTGGTGACCCTGCAGCGCCCGGTGCTGGAGCCGCGCGACTTCGCCCTGGACGTGGAGATGAAGCTGTGGCGCCAGGGCTCCGTCACCACCTTCCTGGTCAAGATGCACATCTTCTTCACCACCCTGGGCCCCTGAGCCCTGCTGCCTGCGCCACCTGCCACCCCACAGTCCGCCACTCGGTCTCCCGAGGTCCTGGCCTCTCCTGTGCCCGCCCGGCCCGGGAGGGGGGAGCTTGTTATGGAGGCTCTCGGCCCACGGGGTGCAAGGTCAAGGTCACTGTGGTGCCCAGGGGGCAAGGCCCCGATGCTGGACCCTGACTGACTCACACCCCCCAATGACAGTGACCACTCGGGGCTGCTGGACTCAACTGGAGGGCCTGGCCCCAGAGCTGACATTCCATTTCCTGTTTCACTGTGATGAGTTCTGTCCCTTTTTTTTTTTTTTTTTAATTATTTTTAAAGTTTGTTTAATTATAAAAGTAGCCTCGTTGTGAGGAACTGAGTAGCACGAAAGGATCATAAAGTTCGGAGTGACGTGTCCCTTGGTCCCTTCCTTTCTGTTGATCTTGACAGTGGGCTCTGGATGTCACTTGCTCCCCCAGCTGGCCCAAGCTGTTGGGTTGTGGATCAGGTTCTTTTGGGGGGGGGGGCAGCTCCCAGGAATTAAGCCCAGAGAGCTTAACCCCTGAGCCCGGTCCCCAGGCCCCTAGCCCTTTTTAGTTTTTGTTTGAGACAGGGTCTCACTTGAGTTTACCAGGGCCTTGCTAAATTCCTAAGGCTGGCCTCCACCTGGAGATCCTCCTGCCTCAGCCTCCCGAGCCCCTGGGATGACAGGCGTGGGCCACTGCCCTTGAAAAGGTTTTGAGCCAGGGTGTGACACTGAGAACTCTTACATAAACCTTGGCCTCCCAGTAAAGCTGTTGTCTGCAGAGGTTTTGTCCCCTGGCCCCGAAGACCTCGTCGCAGGAGGCATGCAGCCGCTCCCGGAGGTCTCCACCTGGGGATGGGGCGCTGGAAGTTCCGTCCCATCCCGGTTCAGGATTTGAGCGATGGTCCCCTCTGCGGCTGCGCGGCTCCTTCCCGCAGCCCTGGGTTTGGGCACATCTGCGGGGCAATGGCGCCCCCTCGTGGCCACAGCGCCAGCCTGGCCGCTCTGCCGGGGCTCGGGGAGGGGTGGGCGGGCAGGTGGCTGCAGTAGCTCTTACTCCTGATGCCATCGTACATGTCTCAACCCGTGGAGAGCACCCCACCGAGAGTGAACCGCAGAGTGACGGGTGGCCTTTGGGTGGCCCTGTGTGATGTAGGCTCATCACTTGCAAAAGATGCGTCAGCCTGGGTGGGATGTTGGCGGGGAGAGGGGGGCGATGGCCTTCCATTAATGGAGCAGAGGGTACAGGGGAGCTTTTTCTGTACCTTCCACGCAATTTTGCCGCGCATCTAAAGTAGCTCTAAAATTGTTTATTAAAAACCGGGCGCAGTGGCGCACGCCTGTCAATCATCCCAGCAAATTGGGAGGCTGAGGCAGGAAGATTCGAATTCAAAGCCAGCCTCCCCAGCGCAGTGACACTCTGTGTCTAAATAAAAAATGTATATATAAAAGGCGGGGACTCCGCGGCCGAGCGCCCCTGCCCTGGACAGTCACTGCAACGAGGAGGAACTCGCTGGGGGGCTGTGGAACCTCGGGGAACCGCGCCACGACGAGGGTCCTGGGCTCTCTGGAGGAGCCCTTTGGTGGCCCTGATGAAGCAGCAGGGCGGGTCGGGTGCAGTGTCGAGCTGTGAAAGTTTGGGGCAGCAGTGGGAGTTCCGGGGTGCAGAGTGCGGCGATCCGTGCAGAGTCCCAGCAGCCGAGGACCCTGAGCGCCCACCCGAGCCCGCCCACCCGGCTGGAGGCGCCACCCCAGGTCCCAGCCACGGCCAGCGCGCAGCGACCCCTGGCGGCGGCGCCCGGGATCGCTAGGGGCCGCGCAGGCGCAGAGCAGCGGGGAGGCTGCCCGGGCTGGACGGGAGCGGAGTGGGGTCGCGCTTGGGAAGGGACATCGGGCGACATCTGCTACGCCGTGTCATGTGTCGTATTGGGAACCCCTCTTAGCGCTTTGCCGGCCACCATTGGCATCTACTGGCGCTCGGGAAGGTGCAGGCGACGAGGCGGTCCCTGGGGCCTCCGGTGGGGACGTCGCAGTGTCCAGATGGGTCTGCTGACCACAGGACGTGTGGATCTAGACACCCAAGTGACAAATAGGCGCCACCTGGAGTCAGGCCGGGGCGGCAGGGTGACATGCTCCTCCAAGCCCGTGGTGGGGACTGCTGCTTCGTGGCCAAGGGTACATGGGGACAGGAGCGTGGGGACACGCGGGAGCCTAGCAGGTGGCGGGGAGAGCCTAGCAGGTGCGCCCGCCCTTCGGTTCTGTGTCCACCCTGGTCCTTCTGGCCCTGGGGGGACACCTTGCCCAGGGTCCCTGGGGATGGCCAGCCTTCGGGGACCCTCTGCTTGCCTCCTGGGAGGTGACCGTGCTCAGCCGATGGCGATGGCGTGGCCTTCTTGCCTGACTTCCTGATCTCCCCATTTTACAGATGCGGAAACAGAGGCCCAGAGAGGTTGACTGTTCCTCTCAGGGCAGCTCAGCTTCCTTATCTGCCAGGTCAGCAGGTGACAGGAGTGTCTGCAGCCGGGCTGGCAGGGGAAGTCCCCGCTGTGACCTGTCCCCTGGCACATTTTTCCTGAGGTCCCTGGCACACCCCTGCTGACCCTGTCCTGCCCACCTCCGGCCACCCTCAGGGGGTTGGCAGCTCCCTGCTGCGGTCCCCACTGCCCCACGCGTCCCCTGAGGGTGTGAGGATGGATGCCCCCTCTGGGTCCCCAGTGCCCAGCACACAATGGCATGAGGGATGGCTGGTCTCTCCAGTGTTCCTGCAGCACACCCAGGCGGGGTCAGCTGGGGCTGGGTGGCCGTGGTGGCCGCGGCTGGGTGAGGCGTCCTTCTGGGGACACCCATCTCACCAGCACTTGTGCCATCTGCTGCAGACCCCCGGGGGCTCCTTGAGGGTGCTTTGCTGTCCCTTGGACACAGACACCTGAGTGGTCCTGCTAGGCTCAGCCTTCTGTGGCTCACTGTCATTTGTCCCTAAAGGTCACAGCAGGGCAGGGCACATCCTTTCTTCTGTGCATTTATCAGGTCAGAAGCTCGAGGCTGGTCCAGCCCAGCGGGGGCAGCATTTCTGAGCTTGTCACCGGGGTCACCAGCTGCTCAGGTGGAGACCTTCAGAAACCTGACGCCCCTCGGTCACCCCCATATCCAGATCCTGCAGGATTTAGATGGGGTCCCAGAACATTCCAGAACCCGACTTCTTCCCTCCCTCTCCTTCCCGACACTCTACCGCTCCAGAGCCTCATCACTTTCCTGCTCCTCTTGTTCCTGTCCCCGTCACCTCCAACTGGCCACCATATTCACAAAGACCCCTCTCCTCTTACCTTTTGTAGCTTTCGTTTTGGGGGGTACAAGGGACTGAACCAGGGGGCCCTTGACGACTGAACCCCGTCCTTAGCCCCATTTTGCGTTTTATTTAGAGACAGGGTCTCACTGAGTTGCTCAGGGCCTCACTTTTGCTGAGGCTGGCCTCCAACTTGGGATCCTCCTGCCTCAGCCTCCCAAGTTTCTGGGAGGACAGGCGTGGGCCACGGAGCCCGTGTCCTTTCTGTGGCTTTTGTAAGAGCAGATTTACCTGCTGGGATTGTTTTATGCACTGAGGTGGGCGTCCATGGTCTGGGGGTCCCAGGAAACAGACCTTGGGGTGTGCGGGTGTCCCAAGGTGGGGAACCCGGTGCAGCCAGCCGGAAGTGGGACTTGTAGAAACTGTCTGCGCCCAGGCCTCAGTTTCCCCACCTGTGTCCCGAGGCCTGGCTGCTGTCCCGGCCGGTGCTGCTAGTCCTGTGGGGACCAGGAAGAGGGGTCACCACGGAAGCAGCGCGGGTCAGGAGGCATCTCCGCGCCATGGTGGCCCGGGGACCCCTTGCGCCGGCTGCGGGAGCTGCTTAAGGTTCCTGATTGTCCGGGGCAGTGACCACGACTTGGGGACCTCGTGCTGCGCAGTCCCTTCCCGCCCCTCCCTGCGCTGGCGGCTGCTTCCCAGGTGCAAAGGGCGGTTCCAGAGCGCAGGGCCCAAGTCCTCGCCTCTGGTGGCCTCAGGAGCGGGTTCCGCCCCTTCTGCAGGTCCTGGCTGCTGACTTGTGGTCGGGCCCCAGGCTCCGGGCCTTGGGGCGAAGCCTGTCCCTTGGCACATTTTCCTGGGGTCCCTGGCACACCCCTGCTGACCCTGCGCATCGCGCACCACCGCGCCCCGCGCACCACCGCGCACTGCGCACCACCGGAACGGGGCCTCGCCGGGCAGGTGGCGTCCCCCGCGGCCCTCGGAGTGACCGCGCCGGTGACAGGGCCTTGGCTCCCTCCCCAGGGCGATGGCCTCCCCAGCGCAGGGCTGCAGCCAGCGCCCGGGACCCGGGGCTGGGCGGTCCCTTCCCTCCATCGGCCCTCGGCGCGCTGCAGCCGGTGCCCTGGCCTGGAGCCTCGGGGACAGGAACGCGCGACCGGCCAGGAGCCGTCCCTGGCCAGCAGGTGGCGGGGCCCGGACACGTCCCTCGCGCTGCCGCCCTCCGCTGGCCCGGGCCGGTCCTGGGGCGCCCCGTGCTCCTCCCGCCGCCCCAGCTCCGCGCAGGAAGGACCTGCCCGCGCCCAAGGTCAGCGCCGCCTGCGGCCGCCAGGGGGCGCTCGCGCCGGGGACCGCAGGTGCCCGGGACCCACCGCCCTGGCCCCTGCCCCGTCCCCGGCTCTGGAGCAGGTGACGGTCCCCTGAGCGGGGCCTGGGCTGGAGGCAGACGCCAAAAAGGCCCTGGGGACCCTTCTCTAGGCGCCACCTTCCCTGGCACTGCTCAGAGGACCTCTAGCCCCAGGGGGACGGACCTCAGGGGGTCGCAGGCCACTTGGCTCAAGGGCAGGTGGTCAGAAAGCTCTGCACCCCCATCCTTCCCAGGAAGCAGAAGGTGGGGGGTCCCGGGATCACTCCACAGGGGGCGTCTCCAGCCTCCGTCCACTGCTCTGTCACATCCCAGGGCCAGAGTCCAGGGAGTCCAGGGTCGGAGTCAGACTCTCCGCGTTTCCCAGC